TAAGAATATTACTGATGGATATTCACTGTATGGAATATAATAATGAATAAGACACAGCCCAACTGCAAAGCAAATCGCAATATAATGGGTTAGATAGAAATGTATGCATATAACATAAAAGAATAAAGATTGACCAGGAGGAAGAGAGAATGTGGCATGAACTGGATATAAAGTCAGCTAGCTATACAATTAATCAACCACGAGCTTCCAAATCAGGAATAATGGTGCACAGATCATTTAAAATCTTATCGAGCGGTGAGGTCGATGTTACAAAGTCCCACCTGAGTTAGGGAGACTGGGTTAGGTAGATGTGGCCGCTTTCCACCCCACCCTCGTGTTTCTAATTTGTTGAATAAACCCAACTCCCAAAGATCAGGTTACCCCAGCTTAGGACAGAGACTCAAGGGTTTTAAATTTTCTACATCTACTAACTTATCATGGAAGAATTCCTGATTATGAGAGAATTCACCCACAGATTATATCATGTGGCGAGTTCTCAGCAAAAAAAAAAAAAAAAGTGACCACTTCCCTATTTGTTCTAACCACAAATTCCATCTTACTTGAAAAAAGAGGTGAAACCTCAACGTCCTGCTAATCCCTCAAAATCTTGCCTCTGCTGCCAAGGGCTGCACGTCCCTGTCACCAGCTGCCTTGGACACATCACCTCTCTGCCTCACGTCCTTCATGTGCGACTGCATATAAAGATCACTCAAAATGAAATTTGAGGAATCCCCCGATCTGGGTACAGTTCTCCATGTGGCTGCCAGCCACTGTCTCTGCTCAAGCCAGTCTCCCCTCCAGTAGTAGTGCGGTTTCTAATTGACCTCTCTCCCTTTCAGAAGATGCTGACCTGAGGAATTATCAGTGCTCAGTTTTAGAAAAAGACTTGTATTAAGAATATTACTGATGGATATTCACTGTATGGAATATAATAATGAATAAGACACAGCCCAACTGCAAAGCAAATCGCAATATAATGGGTTAGATAGAAATGTATGCATATAACATAAAAGAATAAAGATTGACCAGGAGGAAGAGAGAATGTGGCATGAACTGGATATAAAGTCAGCTAGCTATACAATTAATCAACCACGAGCTTCCAAATCAGGAATAATGGTGCACAGATCATTTAAAATCTTATCGAGCGGTGAGGTCGATGTTACAAAGTCCCACCTGAGTTAGGGAGACTGGGTTAGGTAGATGTGGCCGCTTTTTCCACCCCACTCGTGTTTCTAATTTGTTGAATAAACCCAACTCCCAAAGATCAGGTTACCCCAGCTTAGGACAGAGACTCAAGGGTTTTAAATTTTCTACATCTACTAACTTATCATGGAAGAATTCCTGATTATGAGAGAATTCACCCACAGATTATATCATGTGGCGAGTTCTCAGCCAAAAAAAAAAAAAAAAAAGTGACCACTTCCCTATTTGTTCTAACCACAAATTCCATCTTACTTGAAAAAAGAGGTGAAACCTCAACGTCCTGCTAATCCCTCAAAATCTTGCCTCTGCTGCCAAGGGCTGCACGTCCCTGTCACCAGCTGCCTTGGACACATCACCTCTCTGCCTCACGTCCTTCATGTGCGACTGCATATAAAGATCACTCAAAATGAAATTTGGGGAATCCCCCGATCTGGGTACAGTTCTCCATGTGGCTGCCAGCCACTGTCTCTGCTCAAGCCAGTCTTCACTCAGCCAGTAGTACGTAGGCCAACTAGAGCAAGGAGGGCATTGCTGCTGCAAATACTGACAAAAGCCCCACCACTTGTGGCTAGATCAGCTTGCCCTGGGCCTCTGTGTTGAGAGTTTGAGCTCACTAAGAAGACTCTGACTCCTTTGGCCAAACATCCAGCTGATTGTTTTGAACAATTAGATAAATATTTTCTTAAGGCTGACCGTTTTTAACAGTTTAAGTAAATGCTCTTCAAAGCTTCAGGTGCTGGGTCAATCTCATTTTTCCTTTAGAGAAAAATATCTCATCCCTTCTCTTTTTACCTTTTAAAGTAGTACAGGCACTATTTGAATCAGTTGCCACTTTTCTTTTTTCTTGCCTTGAGTGTGGAGGTGTGGAAGGCCCATGCTAAAAAAGCTTTTCCTCTTGGGAAAGCATCTCCAGTCCAATCATGTGCCTCGGGATTCCGACGTAATGATACCAGCCCTCAGGTAAAATGAAAGCATTGACAGGGGATAACAACAATCTCAGTAAACACTGAGATTTCTATTACATGGAACAAATATGAACAGGGTATCCTATAGTTTCGAATCACAGAAGCGTAGACTCAAAAAGACCTCAAAGACCATCTCATCTAATCTCTCATTCTATGATTCAGGGAATTCATTTTCATTCATTCATTTAAAACTGGACAGGATTCATCCCAGGCAAGCATTTATCCCAGCGAGTCTCAAAGTGTGATCCCAGGACCAGCAGCAGCAGCATCACCTGGGATCTTCCAAAAACAAAAATTCTTGAGCCCCTCATAGATCTACTACATCAGAAACTGTGCAGGCAGGGCCCAGCCATCTGTATTTTAACAAGCCTTCCAGGTTATTCTAATACACACAAAAGTTTGAAAATCATTTCCCTATACCTTATAAGTGTACACGTGAGTCAGGGCTATTTATTTTAAATAGGTAAACAAAAAAGGGAATCTGTCCATGCAACTAAAAAGTTCAGGGAGTTAAACTTTCTGCAAAATAATCTGTGAAAAACATCATGTTTTGTTTTTCTTCAATGGCTACAAATTTCCTTCTCCTTCGACCACATACTCAAGTCTCTGTTAGGGTTGTCCGTCTGGTGGTCCCAAACTACTTGTCTAACTTGACTTCCCGCTGCTCTCTAACAGGTACCTCAGCCCGTCTTCGGGGTCTCCTCCCTGTGCCTTACCCATACCACGCTCATTTCCCCATTCTCATTGCCTCCATGAAGTTCCCCTTGACTGAAACACTTCCACTCCCTCAGCCAATCAAAAATCCTGCCCAGACTTGAAGAACAAGCTTGTTTTACCACTTCCATGAAAAGTCCTTTGTCTCCTCCAACCCTCTTATAAACTTTCTTGTGAACGACAGCATTCAGTGTCTGGCCCACGTAATACAACCCTTAATTACGTTGCTGAGTCAGGGACCATGGTTTGTTGTAAGAGAAACCATCTGTGCTCGTTTAAATCAATGGAGGAAGCTGTAAGAATTCAGAGAGACTTCATGCAACCGAACTGCAGGATGATTAGCTACATCTCAATAGGTTTGAAAGGTCTTGAGTACTAGATGAGAAAGCTCCTCCATGTGTCAGTATGGACAGACATATCCTGGCCTCTCTGACTGTGCTTTGATCAATTTTAATTAATTGTCTGATTAGTGAAGTTGCGAGAAGAAAATTCACCCATTTTTCTTCTGTAGAGAGCATTCAATGGCTGGTGCAATGGCAGGGAAAATCAGGGGTAGGAAGGTGGGCAGCACTGCAGCTTTGCAGTTCCACCTCGACTAGGTGGATATGTTTGTTTCAGTGGTAAAGTTAGTGAGTGCCTTGTTACTTTAGGGTTGAAGTTTTCCTCCAAGCAGTCGAATCAGTAATAAAGTCGACACCGTTATCTCCATCTGCCTGACTTATTTATCTGTCCCTAAATTAGTTCCAACTCAGGAGAGAAAGAAGGGGTATTATCATTAGTCACACTAAAATTTAAATAATTGGCAGCTATTCTCTCCTTCTCTATCTGAAGCTGCATATTTATCATCCCTGCTGTAAACCCACTCCAATTCTTCTCACTCTGAAAACTAACTTCTTTTTAATTTGGGCTTCTGCCTCCTCATTAACTTGGGCATTTATGTGGAACTGGGAGTTCCCATTAGTGATAGAGACTGCTGATTTTCCCCCCAAATGTATCCCCTCTTCTTCTTTAGTAATGAAACACCCAAATTTTAGCTTGCTATATGGCAACCCAGAATAAAGAATATATCTATCAAGCAGATGTGGTCATGTGATTAAGTTCTGTCCAGTGGGATTTAAGTGGCTGTGCACAACTTCTGGAAGATATCCTAAAAGAAGAGGAGTTTGCTGTTCTCTTCTGATTTCTTCCTTCCTTATTAGCTGAAATGCAATTCTAATGTCTGGAGCTGGGGCAGCCGTGTTTGACCATGATGGGGAAGCAGTGCTATGCTAGGATTATCCTGAGCCATATAGGCTCAGGATTGCAGATTGTTGAACATTTAGGAATTTTTCAAACTGGTTATTAAACCATTGGTAGCTTGAAATTGGCCATGGTGAAAATATTTCCACCATAGGAATCAGGAAAATGCTAATAATCAAGGCTTCTCCCCCCACCCAGAGAGTTAGTTTACCAGTATACCACTGGCTAGACACACATGTTGAAGATGGTAGAACAATAAGAGAGGGGCCTAAGTCCCTGATGGCTAGGAAAAAAACTTGCCATACAAACCCTGCACTGCCTATGTTTATGTGAGAGAAAAATGAGCTTCTATCCCATTGAGGCAACACAATTTTTGCTTTATACCTTTCAGAGCCAAACCTCATCCTAACTAATACCCAGCTGGGGCACTGGGCCTAACTTAACATCATCTGAACACAATTTTGGGGTCACGAAGAAACTAAGAATGAAAATCTAACCACTTGAGCTTAGGTCCGATTTCCATATTCCCTGTACAATCTATGGGGTACAGACGTGTGGGTTCCATGGTATAAATCTGGCGACCTAAACCCACCCTTTTAATAGGGCTGTGGATTTACATCCAAAACAAAAAACAAAAAACAAAAACAAAAAAGAGATGAGCAGAACAGTTACCCCAAACAAACTCACCATACTGTCATTTAATATATTAGCACAGTATACCTTATCTAATGTCATTCCACATAGAAATATCTTTTAAGAGTATTTGTCTGAATAATTTTCCAAAAACATTTTATAATTGTTTGCATGTATTTTCTCTGTAATTGATAGATATATTTTCCCCCTATGCTCTGAATGCAGTAGACTATATTGTGCACTTACAGCCACTGAGAGTTCTGCCATGCTACCCTGAGTTAAGTGTCTTGTTTATTCCAACGTGGTCTCTCTTCATTTATTTCATGTTCTGGTAAACAGATCTGATCAATGATGCCTGACAAAGCTGTACCTGCCAAAAGAAAGGAGAAAGAGTATCCCAGGAAACCTTCAAATATCTGTTTTATTGCAGCTCTAGGCACCTTCAAGGAAACAGAATAAAGTTCCTTAGTCAATAAGACTCGTAGAAGTCCTTTGACTTTGTAAAAAGCCTCATAGACTTCATTGCATCTAGAGCAGACTGACCAAAAATCAAAGATATAGCTGGACTTCAGGGGATCTAAAGAGACTGAAAAGGCTATCGCTAATCTACAAAGTGGAAATGCATTTCCAGTGGACTTTGCCATCATCGTCCTTTATGATGCTGATTAAGTTAGGGTGCCCAAATTCAAGAACACAGCCATCTCACTGAGCGTGGTATACCTTTACTTAAAATGTATATGTGTGTGGGTTAATATTATAGCTCTAACCAGATTATAAACTTCTAGAGGATGTGGAGAGAGAAAGATAAATAAGACAAGATCCTTGACCTGTCAGAGGAAACAGACAAGTGAAGAGAATACTACGGAATGGTGTGAAAAGTGCTATGAGAAAGTTTGTAAGCAGAGTGTAGTGTTCTTGGTGATTGACTTCATTATTGAGTCTACTCCATATGAATAGCCTAATCCACCATGAGAATTCCATTTCACTCACTGGTCAGGTTTTACAATAGACACATGATCCAATCTTGGTCACCAAGACATGCAATGAAGTAAAAAGTTTTCTAACTCCGAAAAAAGAGACACAAAAAAGAGATACCTGCCATCTCCCCAAACTGTGGGGTCAACCACCTACACAGGGCTCACTGTAAGGCATTAGGCACGATTTTAGCAGGTGAAAAAGGCCTAGAAAGAAGAGAAAGCTAGATATCTGAGTAGAGAGACTTTAAGTGCCATAGGGGGAAGTAGCAATCATTGTTCTGGAAGCCAGGAGCTATGCCTCTTCAAAGAGACCAGCTGCTTTGTATGGTAATTATTTGCCTAAATCTCATCTTATCTCTACACTCTACTATGTTATAAGGCAAGAACCATGTCTAAAACAAAGCCTCGGGCACAGTGGTTTGTGCAACCCAACCAGCAATGTTAAGAAAAAGTTCAAGAGCAAAAATGCCAATAAATATTTTTCGAGGAGTGAGATTGGGTATTTGATGGTGAGAAAAACAAAATGATTAGAAAGAAAAATCGGGGGATAATAGAACTATTCCAGGATCCTCTCTCTAAATTCTTTATCACTCAAACCACCCACAGAGAAATCTGCTTTCTTCAGTCACATGTCAAGAGCCATATTTTTCTTATACTAACCTGTCTCTCACTTTAGAATTACTTCTAAAAGCTGTCCCTTCGGGGTCGCGTTCTGTCCTCCACTAGTCATGTAGAGTTTTTAACCCTTGCTGTATACCAAAATCACTAGGAGATTTTAAAAAAAACTACAGAGATTCAGGTCCCACTTCCAGACTGACAAAATCTAATATGAAGCTAGGGCTAACAGCAGACCCACTCTTTGATGAAAGAAGAAGAGTGGGAGAAAGACAAGGGTGACCTCTTGGAGGAAAAGTGGCAACTATCGTTCCCACTGCCCCTCGCTGTTTGGGTGAGGATTAGAGCAGGGCCCTCCGCACAATAAGACTAAAATTCAGATGTTGCTTCCCACCACTACCACTATGTTGAGGACTAGAGATTGGCTCTGGTTGGAAAGTTGGCAAATCACTGGTCTGGCACAGCACCTGATCCTTGGGAGAGTCAAGAGAAGAGCAAGAGAGAGCTGTCAAAGTTGATAGGAAGTACCAGAAGGCAGGCTGCATTGCCACCCTTTGGAGTAGCAAGAATACAAGGCTTTCACATGGCTCTGACTGACTCCAAGGAAGGTGGCTGGGCTTAAGCCATCATGCTTTCCCACGAAGCTGTATGCACCATGGTATAAAGGGAAATAGTGTACCCAAGAGATCTCTACCTGGAGCCTGGCCAGGGGTAGCCTATAGAGCCCACTGAAGAACTAGCACATGTGCCCCAGTAAAAAAAAAAAAAAAAAAAAAACCTGCATTCAGACTCCTTCCACACAGAATTAAGCAACAGACACTGTTGGCCAGATTAGCAGCCACAGCCTACAGAGAGAAGAGGTGAGCACAAGACATCCTCACTAGAAGCAAGCAGGTAAGAGGTGTCAGTGTCGACTTCAGTTCCTACATCAGAGGGTAAATATGGGAATGGGGGCTGGGATGTGAGCAAGCAGATCAAGACCCCTTCTCACCCTCCAGCACTTTCTGAAGGTAGGCAAGAGAAGGAAGGATGAGATCTCTTAATAGAAAAATGATTTTTTGACTAAAACAAACCCTACCGAGACTTAAGATTTCAGTGGTACTGTTTTAATGAAATGGAAGTGACGAAAGTCATGGAAGTGGGCTGAGACATCGTTGAAGTAGCTTACTACCCAGCAGTCAAAGTGGGTTTTGACAGAACAGTTAGTAGCATTCACGGGGAAAATAAAACCCTTTCATGTTTATACTCTAACACGAGAAGATCCTCACAAAAGTGATTGCCCATGTTAGTGTTTGTATTCCTTAAATTCAAGTTGAAGTGTTGCCTGTCCTAGGTGACACATTTATGTTTCCAAGGGGGATTTTATGAAGACAGAGGTGGAGCACAGTGGCGGTGTGAGGTGGCTGCATTGTTTGAGAGTAATATTAACTCTTCATCAACAGCCAGACACGCCTCAGGATAATAGGTAAATAAATAATTACAAACGGGAGACTTGCATTAACCGAACCAACCAAATCTTGTTCCCCAAGTGAGATTCTTCTAATTGTCACAAAGGTCGTTGCGGTGGGTGGCGGAGTAGAGTAGGAGGTGATTTGGTGGTCATCCATATATAATTAAGTGAGTTAAGTACAAAACGTTAAAAAATAACCAAATAAAAAAAAGTTAATGTGGATAGAGAGCCAGAGAGACTCTGATAATACTGAGTCAAATTCTCTCCCTTTTCCCCTTCTTTCCTGGAAGAAGACTCCAAAAGTTCCAGGATGTAGCAAACATAGATACAGTAGCATACATTGCAACCCTGCAAGGACTGATAGCTACAAGGTTGCCTCATTTTGTTTGCCAATTATGTTGAATTCAATGAAAATATTACAACAAATAACTCACAGTTTGCATATCTATTATTTGCTACACAACCACTACCTTTCCCAGAGGCCTCCGTTTCTAGGTCAGCAGACAGGGAAGGATTTCCAGACGAGGTCTGGCTTCAGGGGCAGTTCCATAGATGAAGGTCACTGTGATCTGAGGTGTTCTGAAGGCCCCTCTGCCCTACTCTGGGCCAAAACTTTCTTTCCTTGGGGTCTGCAAAGTAGTGCCTGAAATTCTCAGCATTCCTGTCATTCCCTAAGGGCTGAGACAGCTCCCTAAACATTCTTGCCCACAGGCACCTGAGGAATTAAGCCAAGAGTTCTTCTGTGGGAAGGCAGCAGGAAGTGAAGTGCAAAGTGCAGCAAGAATATTTGGGGAGATAACAGAGAGGCCTAAAGGGCATCCGGAAAAAAAAAAGGTAGAGGATGCAAAAGAAGGAGCTTGGTCTTGCAGCAAACGGTTCCTCCACTCAGCATGTTTAGTGACTTACCTTGGAATGGAATGTGGGCCCAGGAAAGCTGGTACAAAGCTTTGGAGGCTAGTACGAATCCTAAAGATTTTTAGCTAGTATAACCTGCTGAAATCCTGGGAAAAAAATGTTTTCCCTTTAGCCCTAACGAGACCTCAGAAGCACAGTGACTAGCGCCTCAGAGCCGCTGTGATGAGCTACATTGACACGAATCCTCTCCCTCTCTCGCTTCCTCCCGCTCCTCCCTTTCTCTCTCCCACACACAATCTAGGAGTTCATTTGGGTAGGACTTTTTGGTGAACTGAGCTACACCTGAGGTTTATTCATGTGCGTTGCAGGCAGACCACTAGAGGGCAGTGTCATCACTAACCGCAGAAACCAATTTCTCCAGCTTCAGTACTAAGGCAGGCCCACCTGCACATTCTGTGACATGATGTTTCAGCGTTTTTCCTTCGGTTTTCACTATAAATAAACAAGCCCGGGGTGGATACATCCAGCTGCACATCACGGCGCAGCATGAATTGTCCAGGCCAAAGTTCCTGGTACGTCCATAACAATCCTGCCCAATTTCTTAGCACAATTCAGTATCCAGAGTTTAAGCTTGCATGTTTGTTCTTCTGAACTTCTGCCTGAATTTGGGAATTTTCCTCATATGCTATCCTCAAGAACAAAAGGAACTCTTTAAAGAAATGAAGAGTTAAATAATCCAGCACAGCCTATTTGTACAAGATTCTGTTTTGTCTCCATATCCAAGTTATAAGTGTTTGGCTTGATCCAAAGCAGGGTTGCCCAGCTGGTCAAAAGCTATCAGTAGATTAGTCATGTATGCAAACACAGAGGCCGAGAGCCACAGGTTTCTTTCACTCCAGGCACTGAAAGCATAAACTGGGGCCCAGTAAATTTGGTCCTAGTGTGCCAAATAAAGCAAAGTTACTAGAAGCTTTGGGCTTTTTTGGCGGAATTCCTAGGAGTGCAGCTAGTGCTCCCAGACATAGACCTTGCACCCTTGCATGGAGGCAGGCGAGTATGTGACTTCTCTGAGATTAATATTTTAAGAAGTCATGAAACTAACTTAATGACTAGAGACCTGGGTGAAATTATAAATCAGGGAGTATTAAAGAAATCAAGTAAAGGATAGCACATAGGCATGGATATCGCTGTCCCAACACTGGTTCTGTACTTCTTCAAACAACTGACACCTGCTGATATCAAGCTCATCCCCGGTTTATCAGCAGAGGCAGATAAGGTGAGGAAAACTTTTGCAGCCAGAGAGGTTTCTGGAATTTTCCTATAATGCTGAAATACCAGCCAGAGTTCAAGTGGGCCATATTTGGACAAAGATTGCTATGTTATATTTTCTATCTTTGGTATTTTCACTGATATATAATAACATTAACACTCTTTGCACAAGGTCAGTACTGTTTATCTAAGACTTTCCCAAAGGTCTCTCTTCTCCTTTCCTATCCTCTCCTCTCAAAGGATCATGAGTACATACTATGTTTTAGAGGAGAAAGATAAAATAGAGGAAAAGTTTATTGAAATTAGTCAGGTGAGGATTGTTACTCAGCAAATCCACATTTACTGAGGGGAAGATAGAGCTGAAAATTAGTCCCAAGATTTAAAGATTACTTTCAGCAGAAGGCTCCCAGGGTTGAGCATCATTGTTTCTCACAGCAGGCAAAGAAAGAAAAAAGTACAGAAAAACAAAGGCAGAAGAAAATGCCATTGAAGACTACTCCTGACTGAGCAAAACTTGACTAGGTGGAACGTTGACAAAGGATTGAGATAGATTCCAGAGTTTTGCAGATGGCACTCATGGCCCTCACCCACCTGCTCGCAAGCCAGGAGCGTTACCAAGAAGGCATCATGTCTTTTCTTTTACAGGCACCTTCTTTGCATAACTGTGCCCACAGAAAATCAGGGAACAAGCACCTCTTTGCTTCCAGTTCACCTTTACAAATCCAAGATTTTGGCACGCTGGGACAAATAAAAACAGACAGCTAGAAAAAGATAAACAGTAGAAGAGGCAGATCCCAGCTGTAACTTGGCTAAATAGAGTTGTTTCAGAACATGACAACTTGGCTTCGATCTGTATTATTCTGAATGTATAATCGATGTGGCTTGTCCATTTCCAGTAAAGGAACTTTTGTTTTGCTTTTTTCTTCTTCACTTTCACTCAGAATGAATGGCTTTCTCATTGGGCAATGTTCCCATGCCCTGAGAAAATGTGTTTGGAATAGGAAGACTCCCTCAAATCACAGATTAAGACGCCAGCAGAGTTGAGTATGGTCTACCCGTTCTGAGCTGGTTAAATGAGAACTCATGCCATTCTCCATGCAGGAACTTCTCAGATAAGAATATTAAAGCCATGGAGCCACCTACTTAGTTGGTTATTAAGATCCTGTGGCACTCTGGTGAGTAAGTGTGTGGACTGGCAGCCAGAACCTCTTTTCATATTCTGGCCACTATATTTTAGGGATTTACAGAAACAAAGCAAATTCTTCTTGCCCATTTTGCAGATATTGAGTACCTACTCAATGTGTACGACACTGGAGTACAATAATAAACAAGACCTAGCATAGTCTTTGCCTTCCCAGAGTTTAATGTCATGAGGGAAACAAGCCAATTACAAGACAATTGTAACTTCACACCCACTAGGATGGCTATTATAAAAAAGAAAAAAAGACTGCAGGAAGTAACAAGTGTTGACAAAGATATGGTGAAATTAGAACCCTCAGACATTGTTGGTAGGAATGTAAAGTGGTATTGCTGCTGTAGAAAATAGCTACCATACAACCCAGTAATTCTCCTCCTAGGTATATATCCAAGAGAATTGAAAACGTATTATCATATAAAAACTTGTACACAAATGTTCATAGAAGCATTACTCATAATAGCCAAAAGAAGAAACAATCTAAATGACCATCAACTGACGAATGGATAAACAAAATGTGGTATATCCGTACAATGGAATATTATTCATCCACGAAAAGAAATGAAGTTCTGATGCATGCTACAACATGGATAAATCTTGAAAACATCACACTTAGTTTAAAAAGCCAGATACAAAAGGACAACTATTGTATGACTCTGGTTATATGAAATGCCTAGAATAGGCAAATCCATAGAGGTAGAAATTAAATCCGTAGTTTTCAGTGGATGGGGGGGAAAGGAGAATGGGCTCTCGTAGGTGTGTGGTTTCTTTTGGGAGTGATGAAAATGTTTTGAAATCATATAGTGGTGATGGCCACATAACTTTGTAAATATACTAAAAACCACTGAACCACACACTTTAAAGGGGTGAACTTTGTGGTATGTGAATTGTGTCTCGATGAATGAGGTAGTTATAATGCAGTGTGACAAGTGCCACTTTAGAACAGAGCGCTGTTTGACACATTTGAAGTGGAGCTGGAGAAGGGGTTCAGAAAGGCTTTCTGAAAGAAGTGACTTTTAAGCAGAGACTGGAAAATACAAGTGGGAGCAAGAGAGACAAAGAAGGAAGAATGACTGGCGCTAAAAGAAACAGGAGAACATGCCCAATGCTGAGAAGAGAGAAGACAGGGTCCAGCTGAAGGAGAGCAGGAAGAAGTCCCGCTGAGCTGAAGCAGCAGTGTTTGTGGTGGGCAGTCAGCATAACTGAGGCTGGGGATTTCAGGGGCTAACAAGTCATGCTAAAGAATCTGGGCTTTATCCTAATTATAACAGGAAACCCTTGAAAGAGTTAATGCTCAGGAGCAACAAGATCTGATTTGTTCTTCAGAAAGGTTGTTACAAATGCAGCGTGAAGAACAGTTTGGAGGCGGGGCGAGAATAGAGGCCAGGAGATTGGTTTGGAGGTTATTGCACTAATGGAAGTCAGAACTGACCAAATAGGGAAGATTGGAAGGTACTGGGGCAGTGCTACTGCTCTGCCTGTAATGCTCTGCCAACCCCAGCAGCACCGGGCTCCATCAGAAAGTGTGTGGTTTCAGGAGCTGGTGCTGATGCCGAGGCTGCCAGCATGCCTCCCAGCAGGCTCTCCTGCTTTTTGTCCGAACCTTCTTATCGATCCCTTCTAGACTTGGTTTTCCTTTTCAGACCACATGACCATAAAGATCCTCACCATTTGTGATAGTGTACTCTTTACAGAGTATAGAATTAAAAGTCAGAAATACTTGAGTTCAAATTTTTACAGTGCCATTTCTAAGCTATGTGACCTTGGGCAAGCCATTTAATCTTTAATCTGTTTCCTCAAATGTGAAATAAGGAAGAAAATACCTATCTCACAATTCTTACCGAGGGGACTATATGTGACTACATGTTCTTTTAAAAAGCCTGGTACCTGGCCTGCACTGTAGTGGGTGCTCAATAAATGTGGTTTCTGTACCAGTCAAGCCTTCTGAGATTGTAACTCTCTAGTTAAAGTCACAGTCATAATTCTTCAATGCAAGTATGACACCAAAGCATAAATAAGTATGCCTCGGGCCTGGTGCTGCAAATATTTTAGCAAACAGGAAAGACCATTCCACTATCATGCTACTCATTTGCATCCATGGCTCCTTAAATACTGTTTCAAAATCAAATGTATTTAAATGAATTCCTAAAAGGAAAGATCTGACAGCTCCTTAGACAAGACATCAAATCAAGCTTGTTTACACTCAAGCATGAAGGCCAAAGTTCCAGGTAAAGTCTCTCCTTTCTAGAGCTCAGCATAACTTCAGGGCAGCAGACCATATAAATAGTTTGAGGCGCTGAACAAATGGAATGTTGTCTGGAATGATAATGTGAAAAGAGAAAAACAGTTCATGTAAACACAGCAGGCAATTTAATTTAAAGAAACACATTTAACCAGCCACCTACAGTTTTTTAGGCACAAGTGTCTGCTTGAGGTTTTTATGCAGAGAAGAACACACTTAAAGAACAGGTGAGGACAGAAAGTATAAAAATATGTTTTAAAACCTTACTTCAGGAGCTTATTGCTATCAGCACTAAAACCAAGGTCTTAACTCTCCCCCTTTACCAGGTTGCAGGTCCTAGTGATAAAATGTAACTTTAATACCGATGTAATCTAGTAAACATTCTCCCAAACCTTTAGAAAGATTTCCCTCTCTCCTCCCTCCCTCTCTCTTACATATCTTCCACATATTTGAAATATGTCTCCCTCTCACCCTCCTCCTACACTATGAAAATTTATCTCCAAAGGAATTAACAACCTTCCTAAGTATTCTTTCTTCGTTGATCACTGTAATGGGTTTCAGAAAGCACAAGGTGGCAGAAGCACACTAAAAATGCTGCTGGAATAAGCTCTTGTAAACTGCAGGGACAATCCATTTATTTTTCATAAAGATAAGAGACTTTTCCAGTATAAGAAAAAATATACTTTATTAATAAAGTTTAGAAAAGATGACAGTAAAAAGAGGAAAGACGATTCTATCACCTATAGATATGAGGAAATGTTTCATTTTCTTTCTACTATGATAAGCGGTTGTGATTAGACTAGATATATGACTTTACACGCAACCTTTTCACCTTTAACAAGTTGAGAGAGCACTTTCAAATAATACACAAATAATACACAAGTGTGTATTATTTGTACATACATCTCCTTGTTTCAAAAAGACTTAAGGCATCTGCATGTGTCCCCAGTTTTATAAACCCTTTAAAAAGGTCATTTATTGGAATGTGGCTTAATTAATCTAGCCATTTTCCTTGCAGCAACAATTACTTTAAGTGAAACATTATCAATAGTGCCCGAGGCAGTAAATATAGGTTGAGATGCTATTTCCAAAAATAAAAAACAAAAAAGCCAGTTATAGGAGAGAATCAGAACTGAACAAATGAAATGGTAACCATTTCTTTCTTTCTCTAAAACAGAGAATGAAATGATGGCATCCTTTCAGTTCAAACAGCACTCACTCTAAGACTTTTGTAACTCCAGTGAACAAATACTAGAGTTATTTCTTGAGCTAGCCTGTATATATTAAGATCTTCACTTTCTTATTTTTCAAACCTAAACCTATAGTGTATAACATGTATTATATATGTGTTTGTGTGTCTAATAATATATATAATCTTATATGTAGAAATTACTATGTGACAAAAAATAATTTTTAAAACACTTAAGTATTCCTGAAGCAGCCAAAAGTTAGCCATACTATACAAGATTACCACAAACTAGACTTGCTCTTGGGAAATTAATCAAAGCCAAAATTCATTTGCTGCTTTGAATCATTAATTTGAATGCTGAAAAGAACTGTATAAATCATTTGGTCTAGTCATCTGCTTGGGACGGATGAAAAACCATTGCTACTTCCCTCTACTCAGGCAAGTGAAGCCTTCACCAACATCAAGGGAGACTAAGCCCAGAAGACAGGTACTTAGAACTCTGTAGCAAGTAGTGGGAAAATTCCACAGTATATTCCTGTGTTTCAGTACCTTAAATTCATACCTTTAAGCCACAGTTTGAATATGAGAAGTTATAAAGAGTATGATGACTCTTCCCCTTTTCTAAATGAAAATTTAATTTGCACTACTAAATGAGCAAAAAATACTTACTTCCATGGGAGGAGAAATTCAAGTGTCAAGAACAAATATTATTACATTCCAGAAGCTCCTGAATGGTAGGCCTTGATTCTCTCCTTTGTTAAGAACTTAACCAGGCAATCACAGGAAATTCTCTTCAAGGAACAATCCCATCCACACCTCTCCCCAGTCCAAACCCCAAACTAAAGGTCTCTCGCTCTAATGGCTCCGCGTGCTCCTCGCTTCCCTCTTCCCAGGTAGCTCTGAAGAAATTTCCCATTTTACTCAAATGCTCTCAGCCAGTTCAGAGAAGGAATTTCCTGAACTCAGTACCAAAGTTAATTCTTCAGTGATCCAATAAATTGCAAGTTGGAAATAACTGTGAGGGGGAGATGGGGGAGGAGGAAGGGGAGAATCAGCTTAAAGAAAGCATTAGTTCAGGAACTTACTGCACTTACTGCTCTTCTCCTTAGGACTATGTAAGAAACTCAAGACTGAGTCTGGATATTTCACTATAAACTCAATGTTTGAAACTTTTTTTGCCTCCCTAGTTGCTGCGGTTTCCCAAAGACTGGGTTTATCCATTTCTAGAGCCCTGGAGAAGATTACAAATCATGAACTATATTAAGTTACATGCCTTGTGTATGGAGCATCCACATTTTAAAAGCCTAGAGATACTGCCTTGGGAAAGCTGGAAAAGCAAACAGCAACTATGACGACTGGAGAAGTTAATCTTTCCTTTGCTGAATCTTGTCCCCAAACTTCTAATAAAAATAATTTAGGTTTTGGCCCTCAGAACTATTTCATACAGAAGCTGCTTATTATTATACAAGAATAGTTTCCCCTACTTTTTGTTTATTTGTTTTTCCTCTATTTCTATTCTTTCCCACATAGATTAAACCAAAATAAGATTAACCAGACCTAATTTGATTGCAATCCAAGCCACCCACCCTATGTATTCCATTCCAACATTAAGTTTAATTTACTGACTTCCTTGGGTCCCAACTGAATGACCTACTGGAATTCATGTAAGAGGTCACAGAATAATACCACGGGTCAAAAAAAGAATGTGAAAAACACAAACAAGCTTGGAAACAGATTGGCCCAAAGACATGACTTGCTTAAGATGTTTCTCTGGAATTCAAATGATAAAAGATCAGATCTTCCAACTGGAAAAGCAGCCAACAAAGAAGCAGATGCATTTGCGTTTACTCATCATTCCTTCCTTCCTTCCTTCCTTCATTCATTCACTCAACAATTACTGAGCGCCTATTTTACAATCAGACCTGACATTCTCATGGACCTTGCAATAGTAGACTAGACTTCAGGAGGGTATTTGCTTTTCTGGTGCCCAGTTTTGCACTAAAGCCTGTCTCCTGCCTGACTCCACTGTTCTTTCTGTATGTTATGAAATCTGTGAACAGCAACTTTAACTTTTTATCTGCTTTTATCTTTCAGTAATTTAGAAGCTGAATTTAAAACCTCCCTTTTGATTCAGACAATCAATAGCTTTTGGATTCCCTTAACTGACAGGATTTTAGAACTTTTTTTTTTAACCTTCTTTTAAAGTCAAGATTTACCTCTAAAGGATACAGTCAATTTTGTTTGCTAACAATATGAGTTAATACGATAATATATGGTTTTATACTAGAGATAAGCCACTAATATTGTTATAGCTCATGTTACAAACTTCTACAATACTTCTGATCCTCAAAATCACCCTCATGTTATAGAAAGAGATACTGTTACGATCATTTTGTAGATGAGGAAGTAGAGACTAGGGAAGGGGAAATGACATGTCCAAGGTCATAATAAGTGATGAATCCAAATCTAAGACTAGATGATCAGTGTTCTACTTTTCCTGAATTTAAGTTTAGCTTAAAATTTAAGCCTTTGCCTTCTTTATACCAGGGAGTGGGACTCTGTTATGCTACAAACACAGAAAAAAATTCCTCCTCATGATTCAGAAAATTCCTGCTTAGTCCTAAATCTTCGATTTTTGCTTTAACGAATATCATCTGCCTCGTTTGCTTTAAAACAAAAATTAAACAGATGATAATGTGATAACAGCAGACTACAAACACATAAGACTTTCATAAATAGAACAAAAATGTTCACTTCTTAATTAGAGTTTGTCATTTTGGTGAACATAAAATCAGAAAAACTATTCTAGTCCTCATTTTAGCATTATTTAGCTAGTTAACTTGGGCAAGTCCCTCAAATTCTACGCCACAGTTTTATACACTATTAAATGGGTATAAAAATAGTCCTTTAAATTTAGAAGCAGTATAAAATCATTAATTCTAAAATATTTTATATAATACCTAATGCTACTGTTAAATAAATTCTGAAAAGGGAGAGAAAAAAAGCCCATTTCCAGTTTCATCTCATGTAATATCTTAAGAGGCAAGGTACATTTTTTTTTTTTTTGAGGTTTCTTGTTTAGCATCTAGAATACTCTGTCCGCATTCAGTGAATTCTTTAAATTCCTTTTACTGACATTCCTTTGGACCATGAATCCGAAATTATGTAGGCATTTTCCCTATTACGTGAATAGACTGATTGGTTTGCACAAGTTACATGGTAAGTTAGTGGCAAGATGAAAGGTCAAAATCTCTGATCAATATTCTAACCATGCCAGGATCACTGGGTTATGCCTCTGCCAACAAGAATTGTAACACCTCTCTAATACCAACAGAATTCTCTATGCTGAGCCTTACTTTAGCCATCAGTTTCTTTTGGTTCCCATGCTAAATCTTTTGACTGGATCTGTTTCTTTCTCTTTCTCTATTCATGCCTAACAAGCAAAGAAACAGATAAAAGAAAAGCTGTAATTGCAGGGTAAAGAATCTGAATAATCCACAAGCCAGAAAAACCTGACTAAATAAGAGTTAACTAAATGGATTTCTCTTCTACAGTTTAGAAAGTGAATTTTCTTAAATCATACGATGAGTCTCAGGATATACAGCAGGGTACAATATGAGTTTGTAATGAAATTTCATTTTCATGAAAATTTGTTCACAGTCACAAAATGGAAATGAGAAAATGCATGTTAGTTTACAAAAAGAGAAACACACACACACACACACACACACACACACACACACACACACCTATCGGAATAAAACAGTGAAAATCACAAAAGTCTCTCAGAAAAGGTAGTCTAGTCACCCAGAGAAATTTGTAAATTGGCTGGAGAAGATCTATGGAAAATAAAGACACAGGCCTTATAGATTAGGAAGAAATGTATGGAGTGAGTGGACAAAGAATATATGGAAATAACAATACCAATAGTTCTGCATTTACCACGTGACACATATTGATGTAGGCATTTTAAAAAATCTCACTTTATCCTTACAAATGCTAGATCCATAAGGAGTTTCGCCAGTTCTTTAAAGGGATTAATCTTTCCTTTCTCTGTGCTTGTTCGCATTATATCTATCCTTTAACTATACGTAACTTACTGAAGACAGACAGTCTGATTCATTTTATTACTGCCTTGGGAATCTCCCATAATGCCCTGCCCAATAAACAGCAGAATTTAAACAAGTAATATTCAAATTTGGGGTGCATAAGACTCACCAGATTTTGTAAAAGGTCAAATGCCCAGGTCGCAGAAAATTGGACTGGATTAATCCAGACATCTAATAAGCATTTATTAAGTACATTATGTGGTAGGTGTTATTAACTCCACTTTATAGACAAAGAACCAGTCATAGGTAAAGTAACTTGCTAAAAGTCACAAAACATAATTAAAGGTCACAAATCTTATAATAAATAAGAGTCAGGGTTAGGCCAAAGTAGCAACCAAAGTCTCTCATTAACTCATTCATTCATTCATTCTTATATTCATTTATTCAACAGGTATTTGAAACCTCCTATGGGCTTCCGAAAGGAAATGTACCAGACACAAAATGCCAATTACTCTGTGCCATTAGCTGATGGTACTGAAAAGCTTCCCCCAAGCAATGTCATCCTGAAGTAGCCACCCAACAGGGTGCAGATTCTAGGAGAGAAAGGGGATGCCCTTGTTTTATTTCTAGAGATAATAGCATTTCACTGTTTTAGAAATAACTTTTCTCTTCATACACTAAATATTTTTAAATGGCGAATATATTTTAAAAGGTACCCTTTTAAGTTCTTTTTCTGTATAGTGGTTCAGTTAGCTATCTTGTGGATGTTAAGAAATCCATCTATCTCCTTTAAATCTGTGTTATCTTTGGTAACCTCCACCAATTTAAATTGAAGTTCCAAATATTTTTAGTTGAAAAGAGATTATCGCCTACTTTCTCATCAGTCTCACTCATGTGGAAAAAAAGTTGCTACTATTCTGAACTTAATTAAAATAGAGATTAAACTTTCTTTCTTTCTTATAGTCCACAAATTTCCCATAACGACAAGTAAATCACCCATGTTAAAGTTGAGCAGAGTATTACCTTACTAGAGTGATAGTCATCAGATGTGAGGTCTAAGAATGGACAAGTATAAGATCCAATATAATATTTGAGAAAATATAACAAAAGGAATTAGCGTGTACAATTTCAACACATACATACAATTGGACAAATAAAATATCCACATGCCAGTTAAAATTCTTTTTTCTAGGTCATAAGAAAAACATTACTTTCAAACTTGCAGAATTCAGGAGAAAAATGTTTTGTTCTAGCCTTTTCAAGTACAACTGTGGCGTTTTGCCACTGTAATAGAAAAATCATCCTTAGTACCAACACCTATAATTGCCATCCTGTTTTGCTGCCTTATAGTATCCAAATCGACAAAAACTACTTGTGATACAGGATCAGGTCAGTAGACAAACCACCTCTTGTTTTGATATGCTTCCTGTTCTCTGCTATCAGGACATACCCGTCACTAGTAATCAGGTACACTGAACAAACAAATGGAGCAGTGGAGAAAGAAACTGACTTGTTGCCAGCCTTCATGAATTCAGGCTGATCCACCCTGTTTGTTTAGTTCCCATATCACTCTGGTTAATGATACTGCCCTGGAATATATTTGTTCAGGAGTTCGGGCAGAGACATTTCTTAATAGAAAAACAGGCCCAGGTTACGCCTGGAGATTTGAGAGGAACAGAGACCTACTGGGAAAATATTTGGAGCTTCTCAAGTAAACTCAAGAAGCTCCTTCTTTGTAAAAGATGTTTTTCTTTACCCAAAACTTTGTTCAGTTTCTTGAGCAGCTATAATTTACCAGGGGCTATGGAGATTACATTTTTATCAACACATGCTGCATTCTTCGTTAGGACAGACTTCTGACTTGCTTCAATTGGGTTTCTAAGGAGAGCAGCCTTAGAGAAGCAGAAATGTAGGATGAGGTGGCACTTCTATTACTTAGACAGAGCTTCCTGATAGTCATCTTTTTTTAATTTCAGGAAAGACAACCACTATAATCTCAACCTCTTCATTGGTACAAATCATACTATAAAAGGTGCTTCATTTTATTTCTTCTCCCATCATAGCTATAAACAGGCATATGTCACATATTTTACATGCATTATCTCATTTATTCTCCACAATGACCCAACTAAGTTAGGAACTATTTTGTCTTTGTTGCCAATGACAAAATTATAAAGCAACTTGTCCAAGGTCACCCAGCTTATACTTGGTACAGCTGGGATCTGAATTCAAGTAAGTCTAACTCGGAAACTAGTGCTCGAGTAGGTCCAACAAGGAAGCCACCACTTCATTAGGTGGTGTGTATATAAATGACCTTGTAGCCCTTGGGTGTTCTACCACGGCTCATCTGATGTTGAATATATTTTTCTAAATATTCCTGACTAT